CGTCACGCTGCCCTGCAGGACTCCGCGGGGGATACGATGTGGTCAGGGAGGTCTCAGGTCCAGAAGACCAGCGGGGGTTCCTGGGTATGAGTATTGGCCACCGTAAGGCGTGGCTATGGGTGTGTTACCCCCGGGGTAAGTCCTCCTCGGGTGATACGATGTGGTCAGGGAGGTCTCAGGTCCAGAAGACCAGCGGGGGTTCCTGGGTATGAGTATTGGCCACCGTAAGGCGTGGCTCTGGGTGTGTTACCCCCGGGGTAAGTCCTCCTCGGACGCCTCCATTTGATGATCCGACCCTTTTCTTCCAGGGCACCATGGCAGATCCCAACAAGCCCCAGAGGAGGATGTCGCGGACTGGAATCTCGCTGTACCAGATGTTGGGGCTGGAGAAAGGCGCCTCCCAGGATGAGATAAAGAAGGCGTATCGGTAATACTGAGACCCCATTGATCACGCATTGGAAATGACTTCATGAGGCAGCAGCCAATCCCATCTCGCCTTTCATCAGAACTGTGAACGATGAGATCTGATTGGCTGATCCAGGTCAGCACATTGCTCATTGTCTGTCTTGTCGTCTCTTCAGGAAGCTCGCCCTGCGCTATCACCCGGACAAAAACCCCGACAACCCCGAGGCGGCCGAGAAGTTCAAGGAAATCAACAACGCCAATACCATCCTGAGCGACGACAACAAGCGCAAGATCTACGATGAGTACGGCTCCATGGGGCTCTACGTGGCCGAGCAGTTCGGAGAAGAGAGCGTGAAGTACTACTTCCTCATGTCCAAGTGCTGGTTCAAGGTGAGGCCTGGAATCCAGGAGGATTGGGGAGTTGTTCCTGGTCATGGTGGAGATCGGGGGATTGGGGACATGTTGGAGATCAGGGGATTGGGGACATGTTGGAGATCAGGGGATTGGGGGATTGTGGACATGTTGGAGATCGGTGGATTGGGGACATGTTGGAGATCAGGGGATTGGGGACATGTTGGAGATCAGGGGATTGGGGACATGTTGGAGATCAGGGGATTGGGGACATGTTGGAGATCAGGGGATTGGGGACATGTTGGAGATCAGGGGATTGGGGACATGTTGGAGATCAGGGGATTGGGGACATGTTGGAGATCAGGGGATTGGGGACATGTTGGAGATCAGGGGATTGGGGACATGTTGGAGATCAGGGGATTGGGGACATGTTGGAGATCAGGGGATTGGGGACATGTTGGAGATCAGGGGATTGGGGACATGTTGGAGATCAGGGGATTGGGGACATGTTGGAGATCAGGGGATTGGGGACATGTTGGAGATCAGGGGATTGGGGACATGTTGGAGATCAGGGGATTGGGGACATGTTGGAGATCAGGGGATTGGGGACATGTTGGAGATCAGGGGATTGGGGACATGTTGGAGATCAGGGGATTGGGGACATGTTGGAGATCAGGGGATTGGGGACATGTTGGAGATCAGGGGATTGGGGACATGTTGGAGATCAGGGGATTGGGGACATGTTGGAGATCAGGGGATTGGGGACATGTTGGAGATCAGGGGATTGGGGACATGTTGGAGATCAGGGGATTGGGGACATGTTGGAGATCAGGGGATTGGGGACATGTTGGAGATCAGGGGATTGGGGACATGTTGGAGATCAGGGGATTGGGGACATGTTGGAGATCAGGGGATTGGGGACATGTTGGAGATCAGGGGATTGGGGACATGTTGGAGATCAGGGGATTGGGGACATGTTGGAGATCAGGGGATTGGGGACATGTTGGAGATCAGGGGATTGGGGACATGTTGGAGATCAGGGGATTGGGGACATGTTGGAGATCAGGGGATTGGGGACATGTTGGAGATCAGGGGATTGGGGACATGTTGGAGATCAGGGGATTGGGGACATGTTGGAGATCAGGGGATTGGGGACATGTTGGAGATCAGGGGATTGGGGACATGTTGGAGATCAGGGGATTGGGGACATGTTGGAGATCAGGGGATTGGGGACATGTTGGAGATCAGGGGATTGGGGACATGTTGGAGATCAGGGGATTGGGGACATGTTGGAGATCAGGGGATTGGGGACATGTTGGAGATCAGGGGATTGGGGACATGTTGGAGATCAGGGGATTGGGGACATGTTGGAGATCAGGGGATTGGGGACATGTTGGAGATCAGGGGATTGGGGACATGTTGGAGATCAGGGGATTGGGGACATGTTGGAGATCAGGGGATTGGGGACATGTTGGAGATCAGGGGATTGGGGACATGTTGGAGATCAGGGGATTGGGGACATGTTGGAGATCAGGGGATTGGGGACATGTTGGAGATCAGGGGATTGGGGACATGTTGGAGATCAGGGGATTGGGGACATGTTGGAGATCAGGGGATTGGGGACATGTTGGAGATCAGGGGATTGGGGACATGTTGGAGATCAGGGGATTGGGGACATGTTGGAGATCAGGGGATTGGGGACATGTTGGAGATCAGGGGATTGGGGACATGTTGGAGATCAGGGGATTGGGGACATGTTGGAGATCAGGGGATTGGGGACATGTTGGAGATCAGGGGATTGGGGACATGTTGGAGATCAGGGGATTGGGGACATGTTGGAGATCAGGGGATTGGGGACATGTTGGAGATCAGGGGATTGGGGACATGTTGGAGATCGGTGGATTGGGGACTTGTTCCTGGACATGTTGGAGATGAGGAAATGAGGTGGGACCTATGTGACTTGTAATGCACTTTGTTGTGAGAAGCTCGCAGTGTGCAGTGACATCGGAGAAAGCGGTTTCAGGAGAGGAGCCGGGACACGTCGCTGCGTGGACAATGTTATTGACGTTGATATTTCCTCTGCAGGGTCTGGTCATCTGCTGCACCTTGGTGACATGCTGCTGCTGTTGCTGCTGTTGCGGGTTTTGCTGCGGCCGCTGTAAAGCTCCGGAGGAAGACGAGTCTTATAAGTGTGTGAATCCAGAAGACTTGGAAGCTCAGATCAGAGCGGAGAACGGTGAGTCCGGTATGGGGGCCGGTGGCGGCTGTGTGGTGGATGATGAGGTCTCGGGTTCTCTGGTGTTTAATGTCTTCTGTTTCTCTGCAGGGGAAGAGGTTATCAACATGCAGCCGTCTGCCGGGCCTGCGGTGCAGCCCGAGTCACAGAAGTACAACTCCTAATACTGTGAGTCCTAAGTGTGTGTGCGCGTTTGTGTGTGCGTGTGTGCGCGTTTGTGTGTGTGTGCGCCTTATAGCGGGGTGTTTCCTGGTCCTTGAGAAGATTTGTGTCCTTTCCTGGTCACCTTCATACCATCGTGTCCATCCTAGTCCACCGAGTGTCCTGCCCAGACCACCTTCATACCCTCATGTCCATCATAGTCCACCCAGTGTCCTGCCCAGACCACCTTCAAACCCTCATGTCCATCATAGTCCCCCGAGTGTCCTGCCCAGACCACCTTCATACCCTCATGTCCATCATAGTCCACCCAGTGTCCTGCCCAGGCCACCTTCATACCCTCATGTCCATCATAGTCCACTGAGTGTCCTGCCCAGACCACCTTCATACCCTCATGTCCATCATAGTCCACCGAGTGTCCTGCCCAGACCACCTTCATGCCCTCATGTCCATCATAGTCCACGGAGTGTCCAGGACTCCATGCTTCAAGCTTGTCATAGTTCACATTGGCATAGTGCCGGGTTATCCTGCGTCTGGTGTCCAGCGGTGACACTCGGTAGTGATGGTATCAGTCTGTCCTCTGTACTGATAAAACCTTTTCTCAATGTCCGTCTCTCAGCTTTGCACACTAATGAACCTTCGCAGTGTCCCTTGTCTGTCATCTCTTCTCCCAGCATGCATCGCTCCTCTTCACAACGGTAAACCTCCTTCCTGTCCGTCTCTCATTTTTTCACAATTATGAATCTCTTTCCCAGTGTCCCTTTGCCATCTCCTCTTCCCGTTGTCTGTCCGTCCGTCCATCATCTCCTCTTCCCATTGTCCGTCCGTCCATCATCTCCTCTTCCCATTGGCCGTCCATCATCTCCTCTTCCCAGTGTCCGTCCATCATCTCCTCTTCCCATTGTCCGTCCATCATCTCCTCTTCCCATTGTCCGTCCATCATCTCCTCTTCCCATTGTCCGTCCATCATCTCCTCTTCCCATTGTCCGTCCGTCCATCATCTCCTCTTCCCATTGTCCGTCCATCCATCCTCTCCTCTTCCGT